GTAGATATTGAGATTTAAAAGGTTAAAGCTTTATAACTGTTAAAAATTGTCAGCATCAGGTGTCAAAATACTCAATGTAAATATCCTTAAATCGAATTCTAATAAGTTCTCAGGCAGCATTTTTCTTACTTTGCCTATTTGTAAATTTCAGTTATTATCTATGGAAATATTTTTGCGGGTTTGTGTGTGTGTGTGTGCAGTGAAATTGACATTCACTGATAAAAGTTGAATCCTGCCAAGCCTACGTACATTCTATGATGTTCCTTGAGCCTCATGCAGATGAATGGCATGGTGGAATTGTCCCTGTGATCTTGTGTGCAAGCATGCATGGAAAGTGTATGTGTGTGCATGTGTATGTTTAAATAGTGGGCAATGCATGTGTTTGTGTGCATGCACGTGAACACATGTGTGTGCTTAGGAGTTGGAATCAAAGGGTTACCTGGGGAGATGATTGTATTGATACTGATGCCTTTGCTAACTAGAAGCATAGATAGATAGATAGATAGATAGATCTCTTTTCTTTCTGTCCAGACAGCCAAAACTCCCATCCAGCTTTCATCATCTCCCATCTTCGCTACTGTGGCCTCCCTAACACCCATATCACCATACAAAATGCAGATGTTAAGATCATCTTCTGTGTTTTGACCAAGTCCCTTTGAATCTCCTCACTGGCTCCCTCGGTTTCATGGCATCAAGTTTAACCTTCTCATCCTCACCTTCAAGGCCTTTCAGAACTCTACTCTCTAAATGTATCAGCTCTTGTCTCTTCTTCCTCCATTCCAGCATGTTCATCAGCTTCTCACACACATCTCTGTGCCTTCTTCCTGGCTGCCCTCTATGCCCAGAACATCCTTCCTGAACTGATCCTCTTTCAAATCTTTCAAAACCCATGTCTGCTGTGATGCCTGTAAGAAGTTAACTAATTAGTAATGGCTTGAGGGACTAGGGTGACCAGACAGCAAGTGTGAAAAATCAGGATAGGGGGTGGGGGGTAAGAGGAGCCTATATAAGAAAAAGACCCAAAAATCGGGACTATCCCTATACAATCGGGGCATCTGGTCACCTTATGAGGGATAGATGGGGATAACTGGCATTTACCTTATATATTTAAAATCATCAAGAGAAAAAATAACAAATGTCTATATGTATATTACAAATTGTATATTTGATCATATCCCCCTTCGTCTGATACTTGTCTTCTTAGATTGTAAGTTCTTCAGGGCAGACACACTGTCTTCATGGGATTCCAATCCTGATTGGAGTCTCTGGGTGCCATTGTAATATAAATATTCAGCGGTGTTGGAACAATTTTTTATAGTGAGGGTGCTGAGAGCCATTGAACCAAACTGTAAACTCTGTATATAATGGAAACCACTTTGAGCCAGGTGCTGTGGCAGCACCCCTCAGCACTCCTAGTTCCAGCACCTATGTAAGTATTAGTTTTAAGCAGTAATAATAGCAGTAACTTTTCAGCCACCAGATGGCAGCATTGCACAATTTTGCAAATCTAGAGCAGAGAGGTCAATAGCACTCAGATACACCCATATATGGTCTATTTATCGGACAACCTGTTTTTCCAGCTCTTTCAAATAAATGTGACTCAAGCCAAACAGCTTCCCAACTGCTCAAATCCCTTCAAGAGCAGCTATTAAAAATGCTGTAGAGCTTTAAGTGTTCCTGAGCTGTTTGCATATCATGATCAACAGTAACAGCATGGGTAATTGGGGACACAAAGCTCCTTATTTAGAAATGAGTTGAGGGAGTTGTTCTGAGACATCTCAAGTGCCCTTGAAAGTCCAGTTCCCTTCTCCTGTGATATGTATCCATACTCCTTGGTACAAGATCAACATTCACTTTCAGTGAGAGACCAGTGCAGATATTCTTACTTATGCAAAGACAGAATTTACATGGGAATGAGTTTGGGACTGACTCTAACTTTGGACATCCTTATTGATTCTCAAGTATGTGGATTAGTCCAGAATGTGATCAGTGTTGATTAAGATCAGTTTTATTTTCATTGCAGGGAGAGATGGGACCAAAGCAAAACTCAGATCCAAATATCCTGAAGCACAAGGAAGTTTGGATTTGAACTTTGCAGTTCAGAATCATTGCTAACTGCAAGCTTTATCCCTTACTTGGACTTCTTCATCCCTTTTGGTTTCCTGCTTTGCAGCCACCTTATAGATAACAAGTGGAGACCAAATGAAATTAGGCAAGTCGTCAGAGTTATCACATAGTCACAGCCAAGACTTAGGGCTTGTTGACAGAGAATTCTTCTACCACTATACCTAAAGCCATTTAGAAACCAATATAGTTAAAACAGTACAACCCCTAGTGTGGTAGTAGATATATCAGGGGAATAGGCTGTATTGGTATAAGCAACTTTATACTGGTATAATTGCATTCACACTAGGGGTTGTACCGCTTTAACCATATCAGTATAAAGTCACAGTCCTAATCAAAGTAATTAAATCGATACATAAACTGTGTGTAGACCAGGCCTTAAATTAGGCTCCTCATCATTCATAAGCATGTGGTTAGCAACCCCACCAGCTGAGCTGAAAGGGAGCTTCTGTGGCTGATCCAGTTAGCAAGAGATATGCCAAGTTGGCATCTAATGGATGCTGCTTTTATAATTTGGCTGCATTTCTTTAGATACTTTCTGAACAGGGCTGGAGGCCTAAATCTTCTCCCAGATTTAGTCTTGCACGGTGGAGCCCATCCTGACAGTAAGTAATAATGAGTCACAAGGAATTCTCAGTTTCATGCTCTTGCAAAAGAACAATGCAGAGAATGGATCGAGAGGACAAAGAAGGAAAGAACATTTAAAAAGGCAGAAAGAAACAGCAGACCCAGAATATATCTGGCTGACACAAAGCAGCTGCTTAAAGAATTCCCAGCAGAAATTTGCAAGGCATCTCCAAGACTTAGTACTACACAATTTACAATCCAAAAAGACTCGTAGCTGAACCAAGGTTAAGAGGTAAATCAGATCATGTCAGATCTACCAAACCAAAGAAGGATGATAAAACAGAGCTTGTGTATGCACAAAAGCAGAGGAGAGCTCCACTCCATTCTTAATTCACCCCTATTGTGCTTCTGGGCCTGAGATACTGCAGCAAAGTATCCCCCGGGGGGAGGGATAGCTCAGTGGTTTGAGCATTGGCCTGCTAAACCCAGGGTTGTGAGTTCAATCCTTGAGGGGGCCCTTTGGGGATCTGGGACAAAATCAGTACTTGGTCCTGCTAGTGAAGGCAGGGGGCTGGACTCTATGACCTTTCAAGGTCCCTTCCAGTTCTAGGAGATGGGATATCTCCATTAATTTCTAATTTCTAGAATAGCAGGAAGACCTTAGGTGCCACATGTTACTCTGAATTCATTTTTTTATACAATGAAGTCAAGCACTTAACATTAATGTTTCAAAGGTTTTCGGATTTGATTTGGGATCTGATAAGTTGTCAGCAGAGCTTGGATACCATCCACTTTGGGCCATACTCAGAGCTGATGTAAAAGGTGATGTGAATTACAGGTTATGTGTGTACTGGTCAGAAAGATGGTGTACTTGGGTGTAACTGACACACTGAAGATCAAGAAGGGGGTATGTAGCAGGAATAGTGACTAAGAGGATGGGTACAAGAATCAGATCTATGAATACTGCATTTAAGCACAATGTAACATTACTGCTATTTTCCTCAATGTGACCCCAAAGCATTAATTTATTATTTATAAAACCACCTAAGTCAGGTACCTGCTCCAAAAAGGTTCTAGAGGAGATCCATCCACTTATAAAAAGATACGCTGTTGCAACTCCTTTGACTTCAGTGGGAGTGGACCCATTTACACCTGGTCTGACTTTTAGGCCCTTTATATCTTCAGAGTATTCTCCACCTAGGGTCCCCTCAGCCACTTTACAAAGAGCCAACCAACCAGCAATATTTAGCAGATTGGTTTGTGGGATGGACAAAAAGTAGCTGTGCATGTGCAGCCAAATTTTCTGAAGTGGCCACTGATGGGTTACCTCTGGTTTTGGGTGCCCAAGTGTTGCCAGCTTTCATGACATTGGTGTTTTTCTAAAGCCCCAGCACCCAGAGTCACGTGATTCATTGAGGATCTCAGCTTTGTTAAAAAATTGTCTCTGTCCTTCATGTCCATAGAGAAAACTTGAAAATATTAACCTTAGAGGCTCAAAAATCAGATGCCAAACAAAAAATAACTCCAAATTTAGACTTTTGAAAATCTCATAATTTTTAAGCCAAGCTCATGATTTTTCTGTGGCTTGACTCATGATTTTTTAATACTCAGCATGAGCAATACTGCCAGCTAGAGACATTGTGGGCTTGATTTTCCAGTGCTGAGTGTTGAGCACCAATTGAGCAACTCCCACTAACTGCACTGAATGCTGCAACAGATGCTGAAGATCTCTGAAAATCAGGCCCCGGCTGTCACAAGCTGGACACCAAAAATGGAAGCACCCACAATCAGATGGCCCCCATCTGAAGGGGGCTGAGATTGCTAGCCCAGGGCCCTGGCTCTGCTTTCCCCAAAGCAAGGCTGGCTGCCAGAAACAGAGATCTGGGTCTCTGGGGTGGCTTGGGGGACTCAGCTGCCCTGGAGCAGGGTCTAACCCGCTGCGTGTGCTCTTGCTGCAAAGCCCACGTGCCCCTCCCTGGCCCCATTCCCACCAAGTTGGCCATGTCAAGTGACAGAGGCTCCTAGTGATTTTGAAAGGCCACTGGCCCTTTAAGGATGGGGGGGGGAACAGGTGAGGAGGACGGGCGGGCATGCGCCCGTTCCTTTTCACCCTTCCGCCTGGATTCCGAATAGGGTTGTGCGCATGTGCACTTGCGGAAGCGGACGCTGCGTGAAGAGCCAAGCTAGTCATTGACTTTGATTTAACTCCTTCTACGCATGCACGCTGGCTCAACGTCCTCGCCTGCCCTCTTAGCTTGCACATGCGCGTTTTGTGTCCTGTCGAACATGCACAGTAGCTGCCCCGCCCCGTTCCCAGAGTGCCCTGCGCGGTGAAGAAGCGGCGGCCGCAGAGTGGAGGCATTTTGTGTCCGTGATAGCAGCCGCGCGATATACAAGATGGCGGCGGCTGCTGAGTGAAGTACTAGCGGCGGCGGCCGGGATCCGGCGGTGCCAGCTGCGCTCGGATCCCCAGAGACTCCCGGTGCCACTCCCGTATCTCTGGAGCGGGCAGAGAGTGTAGTGGCGCCCGGCCGGGGAGTAGGGCAGAGCCGCGGAGGAGGACGCCCGCCGCAGGGGCCCGGCCTAAGCTGAGCGGCGGGGACCAGATTCCTCCTCCGCTGCCGCCTCCCACTTCTCCTCCCGGGCGGCGCAGAGGCCCCCCAGGCTCCTTGCTCCAGCGTAGGACCCCCGCCTCACTTCCCCTCAGCGCCGGGAGGGCCGCGAGCCGCCCCTCACCATGGCGAGCAGCAGCGGCTCCAAGGCCGAGTTCATCGTCGGGGGTAAATACAAGCTGGTGCGGAAGATCGGGTCGGGCTCGTTCGGGGACATCTATCTGGCCATCAACATCACCAACGGGGAGGTAAGGGCGCCACGTAGCCCCGCAGGGAGCCCCGGGACTCATCCCTTCAGGCAGTCCCCGCCCCGGGGCACGCACCCAGTGACCCTCATCGAGCCGGGGTCCTGTCAGCACTGGGAGCCCAGGCCCCTGCGGTTGGTTTCACCAAGAGATTGGGCGATCAGCGTACCCGCCGGGGTGGTTAGTCCGCTACCAGAGGGAGGCTGGCCCTTCGCAGGAGAAACTTACCTGGTGATAGCACATCGATTCGGGGGATCTCCACTTACCCTAGGGATGGGTGGTAGAGTTAGGAACACCCCCCCCCCCCAAAAAAAGGGATATGTCCCTTGCCATCAGCAGCGTAGGGGACCGTCTTCCCCTCCCCCAGTCATCCATCCCTTTCCACTTTGAGGGGGCACACACTTACCTGGCACTCAACATATGGGGAGAAACACAGAAGACCCCCCTACTCTTCGGTTTTCTTCTTTTTCCTCTCTCCATCCCACATTTTTCCGAGCCACGAAGAAACAACTCCCATCTCGATTAGTCGTATGGATCTGAAGACTAAACATCTCTAGTCCTATTTCCCTCCCAGGATGGATATTTATGCACAAATCAGCACCGTGTGGATTTTATTTGCAGAGCCTGCTGCTCCTCCGTATTATGGATACTGAGCTAGTGTTGTGAGCTCTAGAAAATTTCCCCATATTCCCAAAATCTACTGCAGCAGAGCTCTGAGTGGGAGTGGAGTGCTGTGGTCCTCCTAAACCCCTGTGCTTGGTGGATGCTCTGATCCCTGTTCCCTCTCACTGCAGGAAGTGGCCGTGAAGTTGGAGTCTCAGAAGGCCAGGCATCCCCAGCTGCTGTACGAGAGCAAACTGTACAAGATTCTGCAAGGCGGAGTTGGCATCCCCCACATAAGGTAAGAGTCAAATAGGCTGTGGGACATCAGTATGGACTCTTGTCCAGGGCATCGTATGATGGGGCTCCATGGTTAGAGAAGGGTTGAGTGTTTTTACTCAGAATTGATTTAGGAGGTGGAATAGTGTGTATACAGTAGAATTAGCAGGATCTCTCCCACCCAGCCTTCCCCATTCCCCCTTACTGCCCTGTTGATTTCAGCCTTTTATGCAGCAATCCCTGAGGAGGGGGAATTCCTGCAGGATTTGTGTTTGGGAGTGTAGGCTGGCTTCCGGGGAGGCAGCATTGGAAATGGCTGCTCTCTTTTGTTGTGTTTTTGTTCCAACATGTCTTCCTTCTCTGCTCAGAAAATGGCGGATGGACATGACTAACCCTTCCCCCATCTTCTGTTGGGACATGGACATGCTCTGGCATGTACCTCTCTTCCTTCCAGCACATTTGTGTGTCCGGAAGGCTCAGGTCTGCAGAGAACCTCCAGGGGGAATGAAATGGCAGCCCCCTTCTGTTGCCCACAACAGATGCGTCACTGAGCCCTCTAGAGATACAGTGCCAAGATTATATCCCCTCCTCCCCCCATTCCCTTGTTATGCAGCTTCCTTGTTTCATGCTAATTATGAAAACTTGTTTTAATACATCGGGGAGGCTTAGTCAGAACTATTTTTAAGTTTTCTTAGTAGTGAAGCAGACTTGAGAATTGGATTATTGTACTAATACTGGTAGGTCAGCCAGGTGAGCAAGAATAAATCAAAAACTGGTGGGTTCCCCTTATTTCAGTATAGAGATGAACTGAAATTTAACTATCTTTATACAAAAACTTTTTATAAGAGTTGTCACTTTTCAAGAGCTTTCATTAAAAGCGTATCGTATTTAAAATTCTGTGAATTGTGTTTAACATCTGTTTTGTGGTGGGTGTGAAAAAAATCAAAACTATATTGGCTGCATAAACATAACTTAGTGGTTTTGCAAAGGATAGGGTACTAGCAATAGTTAGGATTGGAGGAATTAGATTTTTATCGGTAAATCTTGATAAACATCAGTTTCACCATGTACACACAAACCAATGAAAAAATATTTCCATCAATAATAGAAATTTACAAATAGGCAAAGTGAGAAAAATGCTGCTTGAGAGCATAGTTTGATTTAAGGATATTTACGTTGTATATTTTGAGGTGATGTTGACAGTTTGTGCTTTAATGATTTGAAGTTTTAACTTTTTGAATCTCAACATCTGCTGTCCTCAAATTACTGTTGTCTGATCCCCCAAAATTCCCCGCAACTGTCAAATTTTAAATTGATAAATATAGAAAATGTTTAAAATTCAATTTTAGCCGTCAGTTGTTTAAAAAAAAATTAAAATTGGACTGACAAGCCTAGCTATAGTACATGCTTTGTACCCCTTCTTTTTCTTGTTTAATGTACATAAAGGATATAACCCCACAGATTTTGTAGGACATTTTGACTGGCCTCTGTTATTGTAGGACACATTATTTTGTAAATCTTATTGAATACTAATTAGTTTAATGCTTTCCTTCATTTAAAATAAGGACATTTGTGTGTGCCCCCAGTTATGGCATATGTGCAGTAGATATTACTGCTCATAACTATGTTGCCATAGGCTGTTGTCCTATATATTTAAACCCTTTTCAAAATCAGTATAGCCTTATGTAAGGGTAGAACAAATATAACTGTATGAAGCAAAAAACCTCTAGCTTAAAGTGTGAAACCAGAGCTGCATAGACTATGCAACTTCAGCATCCTTTTCACAGTTTTAAAAAGGAAAGTCTTCCATTGAAGAAAATAATTGAAATTGTCTATTGAAATGCCACTACAGAAATATTTCAGAATAGTAGCCGTGTTAGTCTGTATCCGCAAAAAGAACAGGAGTACTTGTGGCACCTTAGAGACTAGCAAATGTATTTGAGCATAAGCTTTCGTGGGCTAAAACCCACTTCATTGGATGCAACCGATGAAGTGGGTTTTAGCCCACGAAAGCTTATGCTCAAATACATTTGTTAGTCTCTAAGGTGCCACAAGTACACCTGTTCTTCTTACTACTGAAATAGTTGCACATTAAAACGATGCTAACTTGGAAAAATTGCCAAAGCGAACAGGTACTTAATATTTCACGACCAGTCTGAAAAAGCAGGTATTTTTAGGTAAATGTAAATTGTTTTTCACTTAAATAATAACATACCTGTTATGCTACCAACAAGTCCTTAACGTAGTATCGTTTCCATGTAGCAAAAGTGAATTACAGTTCAAAGAGATGTTCCCGGGCTTAATCAGTAATAAACTTACCTATTACTGTTTTTTCCAAGCTGAGATGCTAAAAGTCAACTTAAATAATATTCTTGTATAAAACTTACCTACTGTTTAAAAATAACTAGATTGATATCACTGAAAGAAAAAACTTGTTTTTAGTATCTTTTTAGTTTTTTCTTTGTGCATTTGACAGTATTTTATATATCCCATTTCACTTTGTGTATTGTCAGCAATTTCCCCTTTATTTTGAATGTTTTTTTCCACACAACATAGGGGAATGAACAACTGTTTTAAAGAATAGGAAATGATGGGTAATACTACAAAAAATTGGTCGGGAGATTTGGCAACTGATCTGGTATCTGAAACTACTCAACTCACTCTTTTTTAAAACTGACAAGAGTTCAGGTTAAGCAATCCCTTAGATAATCCTGACTGACACAGTCTCTGGTCAATTTCACTTTCAGATTCTCACAGTGCTAGTCCTAACCGTCAGTGTTCTGCAAAATGTTGCCTTTCAGAACATCTACCTTCATTTGAAATCCTTCCACAGCACTTCTGCTGGGTTTAAATCTTGGGTGGGGAGGTGGGGGGTATACTCTACCAAAATTTGAATTGACAGTCTATAACCACACGTTTCTACTTTTGGCTGGCATCTTGCTCTATGATATCTGGTGACAGTTACAGTGAGAACCTAAAATAAAGGCTTCTTATTTTGTGTTTTCTACTTTAACATCAGAGAAGGGCAATAACAATTTGTACAATAAAGTTCTTGTCCACAAACATTAAGCATGATGGAATTTGATTCAGGCCAGATACCTGTGTTGCTGTGAATGAAGATGAATAACCTGACTTACAACATGGAGTGTGTCACTAAAACACCCATCAAGGATATGTACATTGTACAAAGAATTAATTTGTTACCTTGATCCTGGTGATGTCCATACATTGTGCATATTGTGCTTGATTTTTCTCTTTAGACACATGTGATCTGGTACTCTTTAACTGCACTCTTTTCGGGAAAATGTTTGACTTTTATATTTAGTTTAGTTTTCAGTTAAATATTCTGACAGTATACCATGTCAGTACTACAACAGAATGTGTGTAATTGGAACAGTTCGAATAGAATTGAGTTGTGCTCTGCTGGAGGAGAATATTAAGGCAAATTTAATCCTTTTTTCTTCATAAGTCAGGCAAGCTTTAAAACTGTTATAAAACCTTACAGCTGCACTCTATTAAAGTAGTCATAGCAGGAGGCATTGTGATCCAGTGGGTAGGACACTTGACAGGGAATTGAGAGCTCATTCTTGGCTTTGCCACTGGCTTGTTGTGTAACCTTGAAAAAGTCACTCTTTCTGTACTTCAGTTTCCCCATCTGTAAAACCGAGGTAATGCTTTACAAAAGAATTCAAGCTCACGTTTGACAAACTGGGGAAAGTCGAGAGGAGTGCCACAGAACCAATTAAAGTTTCAGAAAACATAACTTTTGAGAAAACATTGAAAAAAATGGGGGTGGTACATCTGGAGAAGAGAAGATTGAGGTGGGGGGACATAAGTCTTCAAATATGTAGAAGGTTGTTACAAAGAGGAGGGAAATAAATTGTTCTCCTTACCCACTGAGGACAGGGCAAGAAACGATGAGCCTAAATTGCAGTAAGGGAGATTTAGGTTAGACATTAGGGAAAAACTTTCTAACTGTAAGGGTAGTCAAGCACTGGAACAAATTATGTAGGGAGGTTGTGGTATCTCCGGTAGTTGGAGGCTTTTAAGAACAGGTTAGTCAAACGTATCGGGTGGACAAACTACAGCCTGGGGGCCACATCTGGGCTTTCAGACGTTTTAATCCCGCCCTCGAGCTCCTGCTGGGGAGCGGGATCCGGGGCTTGCCCCACTCCACGCGTGCTGTGGCTCCGCGCGGCTCCCAGAAGTAGCAGTATGTCCCCCCCTCTGCCCCTTACTCATAGGGGCAGGCAGGGGGCTCTGCATGCTGCCCCTGCCCCAAGTGCCACCCCCACAGTTCCCATTGGCCGGCAACTGCGGCCAATGGGAGCTGCAGGGGTGGCGCCTGTGGACGGGGCAGCACGCAGAGCTGCCTGTCCGTGCCTCTGAGTAGGAGCCAGAGGTGGGACGTGCTGCTGCTTCTGGGAGCTGCTTGAGGTAAGCGCTGTCTGGAGCCTGCACCCCTGACCCCCTCCAGCACCCCAACCCTCTACCCCAGTGCTGATCCCCCTCCCATCTTCCGAACCTCTTGGTCCTACTGTCCTGCACCCCAGAGCCCACACCGCCAGCCTGAGCCCTCACCCCCAACCCCCTGCTCCAGCCTGGAGCCCCCTCCCACATCCTGAACTCCTCATTTTTGGCCCCACCCCAGGGCCCGCACCCCAACCCCCAACTTCATGAGCATTCGTGGCCCGCCATACAATTTCCATGCTCAGATGTGGCCCTTGGGCCAAAAAGTTTGTCCACCCCTGGTCTAGATAATACTTGGTCCTGCCTCAGTGCAAGGGACTGGATTCGATAACCTATCGAGGTCCCTTCCAGTCCTACATTTCTATGATTCACTGCTGAGACCTGTGTATAAAAACCACTAGATAACACCTTTGTTATGCTGTATCTATACAAGAAATAAAATGGTAAGCCTGAGTTACTAAAGTAAAGATTATGCAGGCTAGCTTCTGAAAAACATGTTGGGCCTTCTTAGGCCTGGTCTGCACTAGAAAATTTGGTTGATTTAAGTGTGTC